GATAGATAGATAGATAGATAGATAGATAGATAGATAGATAGATAGATAGATAGATGGATGGATAGATATCGCACCTGTGGTCCAGGTCCTAAAAGTTTGGAGAAGATGGTGACGGAGAGCACGTGTGTGGTTGGGGAGCCCATAGCGAACAGGAAGACCCCGACGATGTACTGGGCCAGGGGCAGCTGCGGGGAGTCCACACACCACGGGTAGTTCCAGGGACAGCCTTCTGGCGTGTACGTCACATTGGGCGACACGGTCGTTGTGGTGTCCTCTACACGGGACAACGAGGGACTGAGTTCAAATCCTTTGACGCTGAGGTCTGCGAAGCTTGGGGTGGTGGTGGTGAGGTTGTTTATCTCTGGAGCTGGGAGCTGTTTGGCGGGTGAGGAAACAGCTGTGGACACCGAGGTGGCGTTTGGTAAGGACTTAAAAGCGGGTATGGATTAACTACGACCCGCGAGCCTGATTAGGTCGCGGGTATTTTCAGTCTGGCCCGAGAGTTGACCAACTATGAGTGTCACCCACGGTGAACTGATAACTGATAAAAACAAAACTGTCTTTAAAATCAAAATCAATAGTTTTCTGCCACGCTGGAAGCAATAGGGCTATATCATCTTACATTTGATCTTATGAAATGCCTATGAATGACATAATCATGCAACAACCGATCAAGCAGTTCGAATTATTTTTTTTTTTTAGAAGGGAGAAGAGAGAAGTTGGGCATTAAAATTTTACAAACTTGTTTGAACGTGGGGGGTTTTTTAAACTATACAATTCCATTGACTTACGTGCAAGACCTAGAGGCGGAAGTCTTCCTCCCCAGGGAATGAAGACGAAGAACGCCCCAAACAATGTGATAGATCCGCCGACCAAAATCATGCGCTCTGCGAACCTGGAATGTGAAGTTCGAGATAATAGCACAGGGTTTATAATATCGAGTTTGAGTCTGGGGGGGGGGGGGGCTTTTACATACGAATGCAGTACTAAGAACGCCTACTGAACTAACAACTTTTACATATGCTTATGTACTAAGACCTCCTACATACATAACAGCTCTTACATAATAATACAGAGAAACTCATACAACTATAAACGCTCTTACATACATACGTATGTTATGCTGAGAATCCCTTGGTATGTAACAGTTCTTGTATAAGAAAAACTACCTGGCTATGCCTTGGAGCCATAAACATAATATCGTGGACATCTGTTTCTCGATTTTACTTTCTCAAAAGTGCTCGAGTCTCACGTAATGTTCAAAGCCCATTTAATCAATCGTTTTATTCTGTGCAGGCAATATGTTCTCAGTAACGAGTTCCATAGTCACAATCCAGGACACCGAATTTCTTGCAGCATCATTTAGGGACTATTTTCTCCTCTTTTTTCTTGCCATACACGCCCATTATTCTCTTCCCTCCTCATGCTGACACCCATTATTCTCTTCCCTTCTCATGCTGACACCCATTATTTTCTTCCCTCCTCATGCTGACACCCATTATTTTCTTCGCTCCTCACATCAATTCCTTTCTTCCCTCCTCACACGAATACTAATCTTTCTTTCCTTTCCCCTTTTCTGCTCTGATTGTCATTGGTGGGTAGTTGGATGGCCTCTTTTCTCTTTCCCCGCCCTTCGCGTCCATTTTTCTCTTTCCTCCTCCTCATCCTTCTTTTTCATTTCCCCTTTCTGTTATTTGTAATCAGAGGGTGGTTGGAGGGCAACACTGATTTCCACTTCTTTACTTTCCCCTCTGTTGTTCCTGTATGTCTGCCTTGTTCTTTCCCAGCATTAAATTGCCGTTATCGAGTTGATGTGCTTTTCTTTACCCCAAAACTAAATAACCTCAGCTGTCTTTCTCTATGCCCTTTCCTCTCTTTCTCCTCATTCGTTTCTGTCCTCTTGGCTGTTCTCCCGCTTTACAATACAGCACAACAAACACCAAAAGGAATAATTATAAATTATCTCTTCCCCTACCTCGCGGATAGCCACTTGACCACAACGTAAACCAAGATGGCGCAGAATGATGAGCAGCCTGTGGTGATGGCTCGAATCAGGGTTGTCTCCGACTTTGTCCAGCCGTACATGTGCATCACCAGAGGAGTGCTCAGTCTGAAATACATGAACACACACACACAAAGATTTACTCATTTCCTTGGGGCCATCGGCAAAAGTAAGATATAGCATGCATCTAAGTAAGGGCCCAACTTTCGAGAATACCAACTCTTGGGCGAATATCTGGAGGAGTATTCTGTGTGGCAGTTATCCTACCTTTAGTGTAATGATGTAGCGGATCTATATGCATGTATATAATATTATATAGTTACAGTTATTACCATCAATCACTCGTAGGTAAGAAGCGGGGGGGGGGGTCACCACCAGGGTCACCCCCTCCTTCAGTTAACGTGTTAGGCAGTCCACTCTCTCTTTGACCTCTCCAAGTAACGATCGTCTACAGAACGAAAGGCTACGTTAAAGAAGTGAAAGAACTTCTCTTGGCTTTTTAAACCTCGCTGTTCAGGACGGTTGGCGGGATGTTGTCGGGGCCGGGCGCCTATCAGATTTTCATGTTGGAGAGAGCGGACTTCAGTCCATGCAGTGATTGTGAAGTCGAGCACTTCCTCTACCCAGTGTATCAGCTACGATGGTACATAAAAATTTGTACTTCTTGTCAGGGCACTGCCTGCTTTGGATGGAGAGTAAAGCAGACCAACCTTCACTGCCTCTGTGCTCCCCCAACAGCTGCCGGCGCCTGCGTTTATTGACCAAGCATGTGTGGAGCCAGTGTACCAGGTCTGGGGGCTGCCCAGTATGTCACTGTCACAGGCAGTTTGTCACAATTTCATTTAAGTATTTGAGTTGTGATGATAGTCATAATTACAGCACTTTAACACTGTATTTGTAACTTAAGGGTCTTTTTTTATTCTCCACCTTCCTTTGGCGGTGTAGTGATAGTCCCTCTAAAATGTCAATGCAGCTTGTATTGTTCAATATTTCATTCCTTTTTGTATGCAAATCAAAGCAAATTTAAATTACTCTGTAAAATTTCAACAAAGAATCTTCTTTTGTAAAAACTATTCAAAAATAAAATTCAATTCTTACAATCAATCAACCATTAATTTACACTTTTTGAGACTGGCAGTAATAACTTCCATCATGCACGGCGCAATCAAAGCCTGTGACAAACTGCGCCTGTGGCAAACTGGCATACATCCCCGGTCTTGACTCTCCTGTCCTAGACGTTCAGAGTAAGAACGTATAGCTC